CTTGTGTGTGTGTGTGTGTGTGTTGTGGTCGTCCACTGCCAGTGTTTCTCTCGCCTGGCAACATCCAACTCTGTAGCTGCCAGTTCAAAAAAGAAATCTTGACAACAGCTCTTGATCGTATACAACTGGAAGTTCAGCAAAATAACGAGTCTTGCCGTGCTTATTGTGCTGTGACGCTGTAGAAGCCGTACGGGGCCATGTGAGGCGGCATCGCGACAGCGTGCAAATTACTTGTCACTGCAAGCTTTCGTTGAAGCTTTCCCAGGCTGTTGATTGTTACACGCAGAATTGCTGAATTGTGTCTTTAATACCGCAAAGAGTGTGATATGAAAATGGGCGGGGCCATGCTGATGTTGTATTTACGTCTTTCTATCTTTTTTTCTCGTATGTCGTTATGTGAAACGAGGCCTCATTTTCGGATAGGTGCGTGTCAAGCAGCCATGCTTGCGTCAGATTCTGACGTGACTGCGCCGAGTTATCACACAAACGGTCACACCCAGTTTCTAAATACGTCGCGGAGATCTCCCGGGCGATTCTCTGCAAGGGGTAGGGACGTCATGGCGGTCCAACGTGCGTCAGCGCCGATGGTCCAAAGTGCGTCAGCGAGGTCCAGTCGTGCGTCAATCCCGCAAAACCTGGGCGTGAACGCGTGCGTCAGCGGGTTGACGCGTACGTCATGCTTGGCGTTACCCACATTGATAAGTTTGATCGAGAAAATCGAATCCACCAATCAAAGTTGTTGTCTGCTTGATTTAGCAGTAACTGTTATTTTGCATGTTAGGTGTCTGAAACACAAGTTGTTTTAAACACGCACATGTATATACTTGTTAGGGACAGTGGCACAATGTTCATTTTGTATCGTTGGAGCGATTATTTCTTAAAAATTTCTTATCAGCTATGAGAATTCAAAAAGTCATGTTGTGAATTCAAGCCTGCTTGAGTACAGTGCAAACCTTCCCCATCCCTCGAAAATTTAGAGAATGTGCACCTTCCCACGCGTTGCTCAACAGGTAGCTCCGTGAACCAGTCTCAATCCGGCCGTCGTCGGTGCCGTCGTCTTGTCGCCGTCTCTCGCTAATTCACTTTTTTTGAATCTTTTTCTCGACACAGGGAGGAACCTGGACCGCGAGGTTCTCGAGAACACGTTGCGGCAGTTGGTGCGGGAAGCGCCCACTATGGGAGCACCGTCGTCGGCGCCTATGGCGCCCTCTGTGGCCAGCCCACTTACCTCTTGACCACCTTCTGGTAGCTCCCCTTTTTGCTACTTATCCCGTCACACCTGCCGTCTACAATCGAGGGCAGTTTAAAAACAAAAGACACGTCGCACACGAGACAGTGCAATATAGATTACCGCACTAAAAACCAATTTGGGTTCCGTCAACCAACAATGTTTGAATGACGACCAGTTTGTCGACCACTTGTCGAATTTGCCCTGGTGAACTTCGCACAACATAATATATGGGCACCAGGCAAAATCGACGCGTGGTCAACAAAATGGTCGTCGCTCGAACTTACCCAACTTTGCGATCTCCATGTACACCAAAATTGGTATGGATCGTAAAATTAGGTGCGCATTGTGTGTCTGAGACCATTTTTATCGAGCGTGCACTGGTAAAAAGCAAAGGTGATCTCTTCATACGTCAATTTGTCATCGTTAGTATTTATAAAGATATAATGTTACCACTTCTGTCATTACCTAGTGTTGGTTTGAGCCGTTTTTCTTTGTCCTTTGTTTGAATATTATCGGAATACACTCCTTTGCCTGCCTGAGACGCCCAGTGATGACCTATGTCGGAAATGGCGTATGTCGGCAAAACATACGCTGCACTCATAACCACCACGGCGTCCTGTGGTTTTCATTAAATTGTCGAGTCTCGTCCTTGCATTCGAGAAGAAACGAAGTATTTGTATTTTATTTGTATGAAGACTTTGTTACAAGATTGCTGTCCTTCACCCAGGTATATATGTTCATGCTCCAGTTTGGCTGACGCTGCTTATTTGATGATTGCTGCTGGTAATTTGCTTTGGAAAGGTGCAGGCATATTGCATTCATTGCCCCATAGTGCCCTGTATCGCGTCTAGGCACTCTCTGCACACGGATTGCAAATCCGTGCAGATCCGGTCGCTGATAAACTCGACTGGAGAAATCAGTCTTAACTCTCGTCTTCCCCCAAGATATTCCCAGGCCACGCCTCTCCCGAAGGACCTATTCGCACCCTCAAACCGAAAGCGAGATAAAGAAAGTCATACTTGGCGCCCGGTGTGCTCGCCAACCCACGCAGCGGCGCAGTTGGCGCCAATTCACGTGGGACCCTCTGGACAATGCGCCCCGCCAAAGTAGCCCCCGATTTGTTGTGGCTTGGCCTCGGCGCGCCGGCATTGTGCTTCGGAAAAAAAATCTCCCCGTTTGTGATCCGATAATTGGATTAAACGACGGATTCACCTCCCTTTTAGTCAATAATCCCCGAATCCTTTCGGGATGTCGGGAAAATTATCATCCACTTTGGAAAATGTTCGGCTGGGTGCGCACAAAACGTGTCGGGGGAGTATAGGACAAGGAGCGGCCCGTCTGTTTGCAATCTGTAAGAATTAAGTGCATGACTTCTGATTTGGCAAGCTCTCACCAGTTTTCTTTTTGTCGACAACATGATCAGAGATCGAGAAAAGGAAAACTTGTCTTGTGGAATTTCTTGTGGAGTCTGACGCGAACAATGAACCATGACCTTGTGTACACGTTGGGCGTTGAAATTCATGAACACTTCTTGTCGAACCTGCCATATGGTGCCATGCCCAGAGCTTTTGTGTACATGATAATCCAGGTGATTTTTTTTTGACCGTGAATCGTCGGTTCTTCACGTTGGAGGGGACGGCTGAAAAGTATTAAAAAAAAAAAAAAAACCACAGACGCCGTGCAAGAAGTAAGTTGGTGTCTACCTTGTGAAGAAACGCCGCTCCCTAAATAAACAATCATTCACGGTCCTTTTCAGCATTTTTTATGCACGATGTTCCTTGGTTCGACGGTTGTATCCTTCAAGTTGTGTAGTGTACACAGTTTTGTGCCAAATTTTTCACTGTTCTTACATACATGTACAGCCGATTTGGTTTGTTTCATGATCACATAGACTAGTAGACACGGTTAAATTTACTCTCAGTTTCCTTCGATCTCAGGCAGCAGACTACCAGTTAACCTATATTCCGTCGTTGGTGCCCATATGTTGACGACAAAAGAAACAGTGCATTTCAGAATGGCGAGTACCAGGGCCTCGCCCGATACTGACAAAGGGACACCAGCGGGCACTATGTTTTCTTTGCAAGTGAACGTGTCATCCGCCCGCCCAAAAGATGTGAAGAGGCCGCCGCCTCAGCCCTAGATCCGTTAACACTGAACGCTTACGCCTCCGAATCCAAGACAAAATTGCCATCAATGCTGGAGTCTTTTATTTAGGTGAATGCGGTCAAATCGTGGAACATCTCCTTTGTAGCCTTGAGCAAGCGGCGAAATGAGACACAGTCAGGCTGGCTGACTGTGGGAGAGAAAAGAAAAAAGGGGAGAAAGGAGAAAGCTGACCGGGTAACCTGGAAAACTAAAAATCCCCAGCACCGACGGAGACTTTGGGAAAATGTAATTTGCGCGGGGAGGGGGGGGGATTTCTAAAGCCCAGGATGCGACCCGGGCAGCTTGTTTAATAAACAAACTCCGTCGCCTTCAACGACGGGGAGGCGGGTTTGATTCGGTGCCGCGGCCTGATCTTGCCCGGTGGGCTTGCCAGCGGGGTCGATAAAGGTTTGCATGGGGGTGAAACGAGCGTTGGCGCTCGGTTCGCGATGCCGCGGTTCTCCCTTAGCTTGAAGCGATTGGAAGGAAAGGGGGGATTTTGAACTCATTCTGTCCGTGAAGTCTAAGCGCACCCCCCCCACCGATGCGGACTGATGAGTAACCTGGGGATCTCGGTTGGGGTCGGAGTTTTCTTTACTGGTTTGTCAAAAATAAACTCGCTGTTTTGCCAATTATGATTTGATCTGCTGTCGCTGTTGCTTGCTATTTAGTCTCCAAATGCTGTCAATCTGGTAACCCGTGAACGAAGGCTGCATCCGACTTTGCTGTGTAGAGGAGCTAGGTTCAGGTCTTCACTCCATTGGAAATAACGCGGAGACGCGCAGACAATAGACCTAGCCGAACGGCTCTGGATGCCCGTAGGGGCATTGCCTAAGTTGCATCCTGCGGGGTCCCCAGACGTGAACATGAAGCCATCCAAGATGGCTACCGCCTTGTACTCAGAAACCATCCACATTATACTGCAGGTTATTAACCTGTAATAAATTCACCTTCAACACTAAGGGGAGGCGATCCCAGCGTCACTCGGTAGTAACAGGCAAGCCCACCGCTTGAGGCGAATACGGGGATGCAGCTTCTTCGTGAACACCTTTAACTTCCAGAGCTCTCGTTCTACATTGGAATGGATTTCGGTCGGTCCGTTTCATTTCAAGCAATGTTTTACTTGTGAATTAAATATTCATTTGCTTTGTTCGTTTTCCTGCCGTGGTTAGGGCCATCTCGGAACCACACGCGGAGCGGGCTTCTCTCTTGGTCCTGTTTGTTTCTCATTTCTGACCGACTGATATTTGTGACTCAAGTTGAGTCATTGTAACGGTGTGACTCGAGTCGAGTCATTGGGCAAATATTATGTCAAGTCGAGCCGAGTCAAGCATTAGGTTCGATTCAATTCGAGTCGCAAAAAATGAGCGTAATACGATAAATTAAAACAACAGAGAAAGTCATTTATGGGGCATTTTCAAAATTTGCCTCTGGGTTTCTACATGACAGTGGTTAGTCTGCATCTTACTCTTGATGATAATACATGACATGAACATTATAAACAGGCACTGTAAGGCACTGTAAATATTGTTGTCGCGATCGAAGTTTACTTTTACCGTTAGGACTCCAGTCCAATAACTTTCACTCGAGTTGGGTCTTTTGATGAGAGGCTAGTCTAGTTGAGTCATATGCTTGCAGAGACTCGAGTCGAGTCATTTATCCATCGGGACGCGACTCGAGTCGAGCCGCCATAAATTGTGGTTTGAGTGCAAAGGACTCGAGTCGAGTAATTGACTCGAATCATTACAACCCCAAATGCATGGGAGGCTAATGTCCAGGACTATGAATTTGTGTTTCTGCCAAATTTGGATAAAATTGGGCCGCCGTTGCTTTATTTTTTTGAAGTGGAGTACAGGCACCACCGTCCAAGAGAGCGATGGGCTTCACGACTGTTTCGTGGGGTGGTCATCTTGGGATGGAAATATCACCCAAACGTCATCGGTTTACCAACCAGCTTTTGAACAGACAGTGGAAGATGGGGGAAATCAGCTTCAAGTTGATGTGTCTCAAACACCTGAGATGTTTTTCCCCCTCTCTTCTGTAATTTTAATTTTTTCTGTAACGGCAGGTTACTGAAACTGTTCACAGGCAACTTGGCCTTTGACCCCCTAACCCCAAGAAACACAGGAGTATCCAAATCCCGATCAGCCGTGTATCGCACGCCTTGTTTTGCCGTGACGTCATGATGTCGAGCGAGCAGTGCCCCGGACAGATCGCACGAGGGCTCTCAGATATAGGTCACGTGCCCCTGCAGCCAAAACAATTCGCTGCAAACGGGAGTCACTCGCGGTGTGCGTTTCTGTGTGTAGACGGGCCGACCCGGCATATCATCGGTAGGGGGAAAAATCATCCCGGGCCTTGATTGAATTTCATAATAAGCAAACAAAGCCGGCGGCTGGTCATTATTGCTGTAATTAGACCTCGTCTGCAAGAGACAAGAGAGGCAGGGATGAATTCCTTTGTGAAAGTCCGTCTGTCTTGCCCCCAGAGAATTTTGATTTAAGAGTGTGGGGGAGATTGTTTTCTTCGTTTTCCCCTCTTTCAACGTCAGTAAGGTTTCAGCATAAGTTCCTGAGTGCCTGCCTTACTTCTCACATAATGCGCTGTGTAGGAGATGAAGGACATTGACGGGTCCGTGCAATTAATTTGTTCAATACTCCTCAAACATAACCTATCTTTTGATTTTCAGGTATTCTTTTCATTCCAACCCCCCCCCATTGGTAACGGTATTTTCGATCCTTTCTTTCCCTGATTCGAATTTCCATATTCATGAGTAAATTCATGCGATGTCATTCCAGGCCACTGATTTGTATATACGCAAAAATCTGCGGGGAGTTTTGATATTGTGCTGTCGGAAATTTCGACTGCTTTGGTTATTCATCGTCGTGTAAGTGGCAATAAGCCAACCGGTTGTGGGGGAGGTTTTCAACGGGTGAATGTTGGCTTCGCAATTTGAACAGAAAAACAAAATAACGGTGTCTTCCCTGATTGACGTCACAGTAACAGCGCCCTCTGTTGTCAATTGAAATGTTTCAAAAAGTGCATTTTTTTTACATACGCTTACCTCAAAAGGTCGTCAAATAACTGTCATAAATTCAAAAAGAGTAGAAGGTGTCCGGAAATTGTATCAAAGAAAAACGTCATGAGTATTTTGCTGTTTTAGAAAACTGTTTATTTTTCTCTTGCAGTCTCTTCAAATTCTCGTGCGGTTTGTTGTTTGCTCGTTTCATAGAGACTGTTGTCTAGGAAGGCGATGGGGGTAACCTTGTTACCTGTATAGTGGTGTGAATGGGAGAAACAGGTGGAACCCATGAATATGATCTTGAGTGCTGTTGAAAGCATCTTAAAGCTCCACGCATTGTTTTTTTTTCTTAGATTTTGTATTTTTCTGCATGTTTATACTGTGACAACTTTGAAATCTGTTTGGAGTGAAGAAAACTTAAAAGTGTACTTTAATTTGTAAACATGGAAAAATTGTGCAAGCTTTCCGAACAATGGCGCTTTCACTGTGTGTAAACCGATAGT